GGATAGTCTATCCACTTGATTAGTACGTTTTTTTAGAGATAGGACTCGGATATACTCACTAGTTTCGAGAATTCTTTGGGGAAGATATTCTCGGGTACTGGCCCTTTGGCCTTCTCCTTCTTGGGAGGCTCGGTTTTTCTGGCAGCTGGTGCCGAAGAGGCTTCCTCCTTTTCTTCTGACTGATCGCTGTCCTCGCTCTGCTGAGCGTCGTCTTCCTCCTCTTCTTGTTCCTCCTCCTCGTCCGCTCCTTCCGAGTCAGATGCGCCAGCCACCTCGTTCTCGTCTTCAATGTCGTCGGGCACAACTTGACCAGCAGCAGCTAGCATTGCGGATAATTCCTTTCTGAGCGAATCGTCGTCAGACTTGTTCTTCGACTTCTTCTGTGTCTCTGATGCGACTTCCACTTCAGACTCGGATTCCACGCCCGCCAGCAGATCAAAGTCTTCTTCGGTACCACCAAGTGCCAGAATTTCCTGCCGCAAAGTGTCATCCTGGTTTCCGCCGGTCTTCTTCTCTTCCCTGGCGATCACTTCTCCGTTGCGGTCACGTTTCTTTCCTTTGTTGTTCTTGTCGCTCTTGATTTCACGCTTCGGTTCAGACTTCGGCGCAGCTTCCTTTTCCTTCTTCGGCGTAGATTTGTCCACGTTCTGAGTCTTTTTGTTCTTCGACTTGTGTTGTTTGGCAGCCTGCTCGTTCTTCAACTTTTGTTCGATTTTCTGCCGCAGACCAGCAAATGCACCCTCCTCAAGCTGGGAAAAAGATTCCCCAGCAGACTTGGAATCAGCCACTGGGACTGCATTTGCTCCGGTGGAGCTCTTTTCTTTGCCCTTGGCCATTGAAGCGTTGTGAAATGGCCAGACAGACAAAACGCTCGTGGTTGACTTCCTCCAACTTTTTTTTTCTGCCACCCGAAGACGAAACTTGCGGAGATGCTGTTGGCCGCCGGAGAATAGTTTTGCGGTCCCCGAGATGCCGGATGCTTGGACCATGCCTATGGAGTATTGTCTTCAGCATCAGTTGCAAACATGGAAGAATTACATGATAATGTGATTGTATAATGTTGCATTGACTCTTATTGTTTTCACATATATTTGATTTATTGACAATAATTCTTTGTCAATCCATGATTTCTGGGGTTCGCCCGATCCCGGGCCGCTTTTCGAGGACATGTCGAGCATACTTGGGGACGATTCGATTAAGTAGAGCTCAGAAATGCGCGTTTCACGTATTATTCCCAGAATCTGGTCAGTTGTTGCTCAAGTACTGAAATATCATAGGCGGATGGTAGAAATCGTGTCACCAATTTCTGGATTCCGACGGGAGGCATCTCGAAAAAGCCCTCCCAAGGCGAAAAAGGTATAGTAGTGTTATAGTCGTCTTTTCAAGAACAAAGGTCATTGACTTGGATCAGAGGATGCAAACGAACTCTTGATCCGAGGAGGCTTCCTCCGACAGGTAAGCTGCCTTATGTCGGGATGCTGTAGACCGCTCTCTGACTGTTATGATAGGCCTACTCGGGAATATTTCATATGTTACCGCTCGGATTGCGGGTGCAGGAAAAGCTAGAGCGTCTTATTGATAAGCATATGCGATCGGTCGGTGTGTAAAAATTGTTTGCTTTGCAAAAATTCTTTCATTGACTTTGTTACTAGGTGCCTCAAAGGTATCTCTATCGTCTATATCTTCTCAAGAGCTCTGGGAGCAGTCAGGTCGTCTGAAAGAAGGTTCAGAGGTGAATTTCGTCCACCTTTATTGGTGTTTCACACTAACTCAAGCATACAGGTCTTCAGATTTCTGGACCGGAAAGAGTCTCGTTTCCTTCTTGCCCCTACTCATGAAGAAGAGATTACTACGTTGGTGGGAAGCCTCATAAAGTCCTATAGAGACCTCCCTTTACGCGTCTATCAAATCTGTAAGTGAAATAGTGTCCTCTTGATGAACATCTGTGGCTGATGTAGTTACCATGTAGCAAGGAAGTATAGAGATGAACCACGACCGAGGCAAGGTCTGCTTCGCGGGCGAGAGTTCCTTATGAAGGATCTCTACACGTTCGATTATAGCATTGAAGAAGCCTTGAAGACATACAACTTAGTGAAAGCGGCTTACAAAAACCTTTTTGATGAGTTGAAGATACCTTACCTAGTCGCTGCCGCAGACTCAGGAAATATGGGCGGGAGCCTGAGCCACGAATTCCACTTTCCCAGCTCAAAGGGCGAAGACACAGTGATCAGCTGCTCAAATTGCGACCATGTCTACAACGACGAACTCGCAGATGGAAAGGCTCATAACATTGAGGAGACTCAAAACACCAGTGCTGAGCAAGTATCAGGCTTCGACACGGGGGCTACTACAACTGGAGATAACCCAACCGTCTCAGTTGGCTTATGGATGGCGATATCAAGAGACAGAGAGACTCTCCTGCGGGGGTGGTACCCCAAGTTCTCCATGCGCGAAGCAAACCAAGAACCCGTGGAACGCGAAGTCAACTCCCATGCAGTCAAATCTATAGCTACCGCAGCCGGGGTTGATATCGACCTTAGCGTAGAGAATCCGCTTGAACAGTGGGTCTCACAGGTCAAGTCAGACAAGAATTCTGGTATCTCCAAACCCTCTGAGCGTCCACAGGTGCTGGATCTGTACGACGCTCAGGTAAGAGTATACAAGCGCCCACCTCTAAGTGACCTCCTGGAGAAGGTCAATCGAACCGCGGACGAGATTGATTACTCCATGCTCGATCGCTTCCCTGGCACAAATCGAGCGCTGAACCTCGTCAAAGTACAAGATGGCGACAAATGTACCAAATGCGCAAAGGGTTCATTGAAGACTCAAACCGCTGTTGAACTCGGTCACACCTTCCACCTTGGCACCCGGTACAGTGAAGTGCTCCAGGCATCCGTTATGGTCGATCGATCGCTATCCGGGGGCTCTCAATCCAAAGACCAGCTGGTGCCCATGCAGATGGGTTGTCATGGAATCGGCGTCTCACGCATGATCAGCGCCGTGGCTGACAGTCTCGCTGATTCAAAGGGCCTCAATTGGCCCCGAGCAATGGCACCTTACGAAGTAATAGTCGTTCCCGGGAAGGGACTGGAGACAGAGGCAGAGAAAGTGTACGACTCTATCGTCTCGAATCCCATCTCTCCCATCGACACTATCCTGGATGACCGCGACAAACCGATGGGATGGAAACTCGGGGATGCGGACTTGATCGGATACCCCGTGATCGTCGTGGTCGGGAAAGGATGGAAGAAGGCGCAGACCCTCGAGGTACAATGCCGTCGCTTGGACAATCTACGCGAAGACGTGCCGTTGGATCAGCTGCCGTCCTTCGTGCAGTCCCTACTAGAGCGACTATGAGCATGGCTAGGCAACCTGAACCCATCCAGTCTGCAAGTCTGCACGCAGAACCATGTACTTATATTGTAAAATGAATGTACACTAGCATTTTAATCAATACCCCAATCTCAATCCTCTGCGATTACAGCTGGTCCGATAAAAGAATGGTGCGTGGTGTTACCCACATACTAGTAAAATTGTCCATGCGGCCACTATCTCCACGCGCCGCAATCAACCATCCGAAAAAAGCACCCATCTGGTCCCATCAATCAATCAATCAGTCGAAGCAGACCTCTCCAGCTCGGTCACCTCAAATAAACCAGCACAGTGCACCGAGTCATCTCCCGCTTCCGACCAGAAGCCACGGCTTCCTCCCTCTTCTACTCAAAAAGACCATTTACCAACCATCTCCACCAAAATGCCACCTGCAAATACCCCCGCATCCGACTCTTCAAGCTCAGGCGGAGCTCCCCCAGGCGCCGGTAAGCTCACTCCTCCCTTTCATGTGCCATTATTGGACGTATCCCATACTGCACGTTCCAATCGAAGAGCCTAGTCTAAAAGGAGTGTCCACAGTGAACATCGCATCCCTCTCCGTGCCTCAACTCCGCGCCCTCCAAACCCGCCTCACCTCGGAGCTTGAGCACCTGACCTCCTCGCATCAGAAACTGCGCGCCGCGCAATCCAGGTTCCGTGATTGTGTGCGATCCATCAATGATGGGGTCGTGGGGTCGGAGAAGAAGGGAACAGCTGAAAGGGATGATATACTGGTTCCTCTGACGAGCTCCCTCTATGTGAGAGGTAAGCTCGCGGATCGAGAAAAGGTGCTTGTTGATGTTGGGACGGGCTTTTATGTTGAGAAGGTTTGTTGAATTCTCCTGCAAGATCACATATTTGAGGGCTAAGTTGTCTTCCTCGAACAGACGGCACCGAAGGCCATTGAGTTCTACGAAGAAAAGGTCAAGGGTTTGGAAACCAATTGTGTCGAGCTAGAGAAGATTGTACAGACTAAGAGTGCTCAACTGAGGCTCTTTGAAGATGGTAAGTATCAATGCCTTCTACGTGGACTTGTTCGATAACTAACTGGCTATTCTAGCTCTGAGACAGAAGATGCTAAGCGGCGAAGCCGTCCCATCTTCAACCGCAGCTGCTGGTGCAGGCTAATTCCGTCGCATAACATCTGTGACAAGAAAGGGCGCTTATGGTACAGTCTCCGGAATAAAATGAGTTACCATCCTTAGGATTATATGATACCTGGTGCAAATCCATATGGATAAGAGATAACAGGACCCTTGTTTCTATGTAGGCTAAGTACAATCTGGCGCAGCATTGTCATATTCCCCAGATCGCGACTCAGCAAAATGCGAATCAGAAAAAGCATCTGGCTTACGTCACAACCGATGCAGGCTTCTCTCTTAACTGTTTGAGCTGCTCTTGCACAAGGCGAGGATTGTATTCAAAGCATTGGAACGTCTGTTTCCAGGTGTTAGTGTCCTCTAACTCGTCCCGTCCGCAGGCGCAATTTCTCCATTAAGGTCCTTATACGAGACTACCTAGACCCATGAATTTTATTTAGCTAGAAATCGACCGCGGCAACGGAAAGGGAAGGCTAGCGCTTGCATTACGCATTCTGAGAACAGAATCTGGCGGACTAAAGAGCTCACTCAAAACAACGTGCCGAGATCCGCGTCCAACAAGACACGCATTTGAGGGCCGATGTTGACATGCTGGCGATTTTGACGTGCAGTAATGGCTTCATCAGACTTATCGCTCGAAGGGCTCTTAGGGACTCGCTGCTTCACGTTTTCAGAGGAAGCCTTTGTTGAGCCTAGCAGCTCCGCAACCCGTCTCACCAAAGCAATCAACTCCCAGAATCCTTCGTATTTGCCTCCGGTGGTCTCTTCTATGGGTGGAAAGAACGTGTTCAGACTGGGACTGTATCTTGCCGTATGTCCAAGCGGTATATTCGCATGCTGTCCGAGCAAGTTGTCCCAGTTTGGATCGAAGATCGATGCACCCCAAGAACTTGAGGGGACCTCGGAGATTGGACCGGTGATGGCGGCAGAGTTCTGTCCACCGTACCCTGGCGCAGTCGTGCGGCTGTACTCATCGTAGCGGGCGATCTCGAGGATGTACTTGGTGTTCTTGAGTCGGTACCTGATCGCTGTCTTTTCTACAAATCTGGACACTGGGGCAGAAGCTGGGAAGACGACCTTCCTTTGTGGCTTTGCGGAGATGTCGTTGATGTCCGCAGTGCGTCGGAAATTGATAGAATGAGAGAAAGACCTCAGTGCGGCATTGATGGAGGATGTCTCATAGAACTCGAGGGATTTTATTTCAAGCTGCCAGTCGGATCTGTTACGCATGAATCAGTTTGGAAATGGATACCGCAAGGTCAAAGTTGGCTTTACCTCTCAAAATCGATGATACCTATCTGGAGAGGGGGCCGCTGGTCGGCAGAATGGCCGCTCTTACGTGGACTGAGCCAACGTCGTTGAGTTATTTCATACTCATGCGCACCAGGACTTTTGGCAAACTCTGCTTCTAATCGAAGCAGCGCATTGTTGGATCCCAGAAACTCAAAGTTCACTGAGAAAGCCGGTTCGGCATCAGAAAGGTTTCCTGTCACGCTGTCGCAGGGTTCGAGAATATCGGTGGCCTTGAAACATCTGGCAAGCAGCTCATCTTTACCAAGGTTCAGTCTGTACATTTCACGGGAGTTGGTTATCAGTCAGTTATCCTTCTGCGTTCGGGTGGTGGTCATACATACCCTGGGATCAAGCGGCCCTTTGTTTGCTCATGCAGCAACATTTCTCTAAACTCTTCAAATTGATACGATGGCTTCTCTTCCTTGGGGAGACGGTATTCATCCAGCACAAATGATCCGAGATTGATACGCATGCGCAAATGACCACGAACGAAGGCAACGCCACGCAAAGATCTCTCGATCGCCTGGAGAAGACGAGCATTGTTCTTCGATTGTATCAAGGCGGCTCGGATCTCCCATTGCTCGAGGTCCTTGGGGCGGGAGCCCTGGAGGCGTGCTTTTCCAAACTGCTTGTTGCGCTCCATGACGATTGCTTCTTTCATGGAGGCTGGCGCAGGAGGCTCAACAACATAAACCTTGGACTTGACATTGCTATTGGCAATGATTTCACTCCACTTGGTCCTCAAACACTGCACTATTTGTCTCATCGTATCCCAGGATTGTCCACAGGCGCAAATGTAGGCTGGCATGTCCTTTGGGACGAACAAGTGACAGCCGAACTTCGCCCTGATTACATCTAGAGCCTCTAGTTGTGGACCGAGGGAGTCAACAAGAGACGGGCCTTCTCTTGGCCATAAAAAGAGCATCTATGGGGACACGGAGTTAGATTGCAAAACCAGGCTGCACTGTTTCAAGAACTGACCTGCTCCGGAAAAGTCGAAGGATTCTCAGGGGCCTTTCTGAGCTGCTGTAATATGTGTTCGCGCCTTTCCTTCAACTCAACATCTGCCTCCTTGTTGACGGAGTGTGCGTTGATCTTCGCCCACTCAAGCCTTTTCTTGGCTGGAACGGAGGGACTGGTGCACTTTGCAATGATTCTTTGAAGATGCTCCTTTGCGGAGGCAATCTGAGACGGTTCACCCCAAAGAAATATAGCCTGTTCGCTATGAGTGAATGCGTCTTGACCGGGGCGTTTTCGAAACTGGCTTCGTTAGTCGGATGACTCACCTGGTCTGTATAGGCGGGCGGCTTTACGAAAGCACCTGTCTTCTTGCTAATTTCCTCGAACACCTCGTGACGGCCTTGAGAGCCGTGAGAGCTCCGTCCGGTTATTGTGGTCCTCGCTACTCCGAAGAACCTAAGTTGAGATCCATGTTAATCTTCAACCCCATGAAGAGAGACCGTGATTTGCCTACTCGTATTTGATGGATCCAAATAGAGCTGGTAGATTCACAACACCTGAAGGAAATTGGAGTGAGTTCCTCGCGCGTATGAAGTGGATATTGTACCGACCGTTGGGCTGCGCTCCATTACGCCATTTGGCCTTCGAGGGCGAGTCTTTGAAGAATTGGTTTGAATATTGTCGCGTTGTGGTCTGTCGAACCGCAGGGCTTCCCCACGCTCTCAGCGGCCGATCAATACCTCTTATCTGTGCAGTTTGGCTTTTGGGAGTCATCATGCCGCGAGTGGTGGATCCTTGCTGGGTCTGACCTTGAGGCTGCTGTTTCTGTGGTTCGATTCTTGAGGTCATATTGGATGGAGCTGTCCGATGAGATTTAGATGACTGTTTCATTCGACGCGACTTGGATGTCTTCAAGTCGTAGCCTGGCAACTCCCATTCTGCAGATCATTGTCAGTTAAAGCTCGATTTTTGCGGTTTACACGATTTGAGGAACGGATATTTTATTCTTACCAGCTGCTCCTCCAGGCTCATGACTGCTAGCACTTAGTGGTTTGGACATAGATGTTGCTAAGCGTCGACTTACTCTCTCGCCATCTCAGAAAGAATCAATGGAAGTGTTCAACGGGAGGGATCAATAGTTAAGAAAGCTAATGGCAGCATGTGATGCTGAGTGAGACTGAAACTGACGCAGCGACGGAGTTGAATAGTGTAGTGACAGGGGAGAAGGATCAAGAATGAATTAAAAGTGAATGGATATTAGCTAGTGAGGTGGTGATAGGGGATCAGTGAAAAAGTAGTCAAGACAAACAGGGAAGTTGTGAAGAGCAAACAGAAGAACTTCCATAAGCAGAAACAGCACCTGGGCTGTTGCCTATCAGAAGGAAAGCATCAGGATTATTGCCAAGTGATTAACTTGCATTATGTCTTTAAAGGAGCTAAGTACTACGTAGTCTTGATCAGAAGTACCTGTCTATGAAATGCTGAGATGGCAGAGACGTACAGCTATCAAACAGATTACTTCTCATACAACCATCAATCATTAGGTAGGAAATTGGGCTTGTATGTATCCTTAAAGCGTATCCCAATGCCCCGTACTGCTAACTAGCTGTCGTTTGACTTCACTTCCAGTGCAAGTATAAGCGAAAGTGAGTTATTTTGCTCGAGACTTGAGCCGTCCAAGTATCGGAACCATTTCATCAATATGTAACTCTTTGTAATAGCATATATACTAATGGCTCAATGCTTTCAAAATTAATATGCAGTCTATATCCAAAAAGATACCAGAAGGGTGATTGATTCGAAGTAGTGAAAAGTGAGGTAGCACAATCAAGTTGTATACAAGACCTTTTAAAGAAGTGGTAGTGCTATGATTTTCATTGGTGGACGGCCTAGCAACCACACTAAGCCCAAACAGGGTCAAAGTGGACAACGCGAATTGACGCGTCTTAAACTCTTTCTTGGGCTTCAACGCCGAGAGAAGGCCAGACCTTGCAACCCATTTTCGCCGTACAACCCAATTGAAGGAAATGGCCGTGCCCTCTGGTGGTGAATTTGAGAGTACTCCTTCTCGCAGGCGCAGTGCTCGACAACGAGCACAATTATGGATGACCAAAGGTGGTCTAGTGCGCGATGATTCCGACGACGAGCTGGGGGATGAGGATCTCCCATGGCATTGGATCTATGACGCTGAAGAAGAAGACACCAAAAGCAAAGACACGACACCGGCCACCGATGAGCCTGAGACAAAGTCGGCTCGCAGACGCGCAGCTCGCCCTAATGCGAAGCGCCGACGGAATATTATAGGGGCGCGGATGGGTTCCTTCGAGTGTCGGTTGGGTCAAGTCGTGCTACTGAAATCTCCGGAACCGGGAAAAGATTGGGTCGGCATTATCACTGATTTTCTAGAGGAAGAAGATGACGAGGCAGAGGATGGGGTGGTCAAGTCGGTTAACATCATGTGGTTGGCGTCCCCGGATGAGTTCATGTCAACCAAAAACAGGCGCAGGGCGGACGCTTTGCCGAACGAACAATACCTGACAGCAGACTTTAATGTCAACCCGATCACGTCGATCAATGGTAAAGCTACCGTGATGTCCAAGGACGCTTTCTTTGCCAAATATCCGGACGGCACGCCGCCAAAGGGCAAGGAGGAATTGGCCGAGTTCAACAAATGCATTATCTGCCGGAGAGGCGTAAACCAGCTTCAAGGCAGATATACCGACGAATTCATTTGGGAGGACGTGTACCGGGAGGATAAGGTCCATGACCTCATTACCATGGTCAAGGACGGGTTGAAAGCGGCCAAAAAGCGCAAGCATGTCGACGACGATGTGAGTCCCCCTAGCCCCCCTGCTCGCGTGAGAAATGGTTGCTCACGGAAATGCTCTCAGTACATTGATACGAAAGAGGACGAGGATTTTGCTCCCTCTACACCTCGAAAGAAGCAGAAAGTAGCCTCGAGTACTACTCCACAATCGCGACGCAAGAAAGCCCTGACCACCCCGTCGCACAAGAGGTACGAAGTCATATCTGACGATTCTGGAACAGAGAATTGACAAGCTACTCCACAGGATCGTCGTTAAGAAGCCATTAGAGTTCACACCACTTGGAACTCGAGTTTTGCCTCCTTCTCATTTCGATTCACCTTATCGGCAAGCACGTACCCTACTGCATGTTTCGACCGTACCTACATCACTTCCTTGTCGAAAGACAGAATTCGACACTGTTTATAATCACCTCAGTGCAGCAATCATGGAAGGAACTGGCACCTGCATTTATATCTCGGGAACACCTGGGACCGGCAAGACAGCGACAGTACGTGAGGTGGTTGCTCAGTTAAATGCTGCTGTTCTTGCTGAGGAAATGGACGATTTCATCTTTGTTGAAATCAACGGAATGAAAGTGACTGATCCTCATCAATCTTATTCATTGCTCTGGGAAGCGCTCAAGGGTGATCGCGTTTCTCCTTCCCATGCGCTTGATCTCCTCGAAAGAGAATTCTCGCATCCCTCCCCCAGACGAGTGTCGTGTGTGGTCCTCATGGACGAGCTTGATCAGTTGGTCACAAAGAACCAATCAGTCATGTACAATTTCTTCAACTGGCCTGCCCTTCGTCATTCACGACTTATCGTTCTTGCTGTGGCAAACACCATGGATCTGCCGGAGAGAACGTTGAGCAACAAAATATCCAGCCGTCTCGGGTTGACTCGCATTACCTTCCCTGGTTACAAGCATACAGACCTCATGGAGATCATCAGCACTCGATTGGCCAATGTTCCTGGAAACATCGTCGATGCGGATGCCGTTCAATTCGCTAGTCGAAAAGTAGCTGCTGTCAGTGGAGATGCTCGCCGTGCATTAGACATCTGTCGACGCGCCGTGGAAATTGCAGAACAGTCCAGCGAGGCTGCAAAGATCGAGGATTTTGATGCGGAACAGAACGGAGACGACAACGAGTCCCTGCCCCCTACTCCCAGCAAAACTCCAGCACGACGACAGAAGTCCACTAGCAAGCAAACAGTCAAGGTCGAGTCGCCTCAAAAGAACACAGCCCAGAAGCAGACTGCTGGCCGAGTCACCATCGCTACTATCAAGCAAGCCATCCAGGAAGCCACCTCCACCCCACTCCAGCAATCTCTCCGCTCCCTTCCGCTGTCCGCAAAGCTGTTCCTCGCTGCTCTACTGGCCCGTGTTAAACGAACCGGTATTGCTGAGTCAACCTTCGGCGATGTGATCGACGAAGCTAAGAGAATCGCTGACGCAGCAGTTGCAGTCGCCAGCACAGGCATCAAGGATTTCTTGCTCGCTGGGAACAACGGGGGGCGGGTGAGAGCTCTTGGCTTTGCCGCTATGGAGCTCATGAACTCCGGAGTCCTTGCCTTGGAAAACGGGGCAGGAGTCAAGGGCCCCCTAGGCGGTTCTGCCATTCCGAGCAGAGGCGACAGAAGCGGGAAGGTGAGGCTTAGAGTTGCACCAGAAGATGTTCGAGCCGCGTTCCGGGAGGACATTGAGGCGAAGGGATTGGGATTGGGTATGGACCAGTAAGGGTTCGGACTTGCATTTGTCGGCGTACCCAGGTATTGATTTGTGACTGTCTGTACAAAGACTGATTTGATAGCAAAGATACCCTTAGCTCGTTTTGAAGTGCTATAGATCAAGAAAGACTCAGAACCAATATAACTTGATTGATCCTACGCAGTTCAAGTGCCTATCATACAACAAGGAAATATGTTTTGTAGATTCCCCCCCTGACCTTGTATCAACATCACTCGGAAACAAACGCTGAACTCCATGTGCGACAAAAGAACAAAACAACAGCCCGATTCTGCATTTGGATCAAGGGTATAAAGATGACATCCACGGCCCAAACTAATATCTCTGTCTGCCAAGAGTCGGTGCCCAAGTGACAGGATGAGACTCCGGCGTCGCCTCGTCGTCTGGTTTCCAGACCTTGATAGTCTTATCGGCCTCTCCGGTGATCAAACGCAAGCCGGTCCGATCAAATGTAGAAGACATAATACCGGCTTCGGCGTCCAGAGAACCCGGCTGGGCCATGGTGTCGATGGACTGGAATTTGTAGCCTGTCTTCCAGTCCCAGAAGCACATGGAGCCGTTATCACCACCGGAGAAGAGAACGTTGTCCTCGTTCACGGCGAGGGAGTTGATGACGGCATTGTGGCCCTCGAAGTTCTGCATGAAGTCGCCCTCGGGACACTTCCATTGCTTGATGCTTCCCGTGCTGGCGCTGGCGAATGTGAATTCTCGCGGATGGATGGCGATATTGCGCACGCCCTTCTTGTGGTGCGTGAGAACACCCATAGTCTTTCCGGCTGCAAGGTCCCACAGGCGCACTGTAGCGTCGAGAGAACCGGTAATAATCTGTGGGTCGGCCTCCTGGCACTTCAAGTCGGCAACGGTGCCCTTGTGGCCTGACAGAACGTGGACGTTGCTTCTTGTCCGCATATCCCAAACTCGGGCAACACCGTCTCGACCACCGGTCACCAGAAGGTCGAGGCGCGGATGTACAGCGAGTGTATATACTCCGCTCAGGTGACCGTGATAGTGGCGGATGACCTTGTTTGTTTCCAGATCCCAGCACTTGACCATTTTGTCTTCACCACAGGAGAAGAGGTACGGATGTCGGGGAGACACGGCCAACCCGCGGACGGTAGAGATATGGCCCGTCAGCGTCAGACGAAGAGCACCTGTCGCAAGATTCCAGATCTTGATCGTCCTATCACCAGCACCGCTAGCAAACCATTCGTTGTTCGGTTCCACTGCCAAACTCCGCACCCATCCCAGATGTCCCGAGATCACTCTCATTAGCTTCCACGGAGGATGCCAGTCAGGTCTCTGCTGTCGCGTAGCCGAGGGTCTCTGAATCAGACTCTTCGGCTGATCTTCACCTCCCACTCCGCCCGCGGCCGGTCCAGCAGCCCTCTTCACGAGAGACATCGAGGCGCCGCTGCCGTCTGCTTGTGGCTTCGTTTGCGCCTGAATCTTTGGGCGCTTCGCGCGACCTGCTGCTGCTGCTTTCGCTTGCTTCTCGGCGAGAGCTGGAGGTAATTCCTTCACATCTGAGTATTCCGTCTTTCGTCGGTAGGACAGTCCGATCGATCCATCGGCGACACTAGGTGTGACCATGAGGTATTCGGAGCCGAAAAGTTCAGCGGTTCGTTTCGCGGACCTGCGGACGGCTTCGTCCGGTGCGGTAGAAGAAAAGACGTCCATGGTATTTGAGTGGTAGAAAACTTAGACCAGATTTCAGAAGTCCGAATGATTATTCAGGGCGGTACTGGCGTTTAAAAGACTGACGCAGGTCGCCAGAGAGGACGTGCTGTACGCGTCCTGAACCCTGTTTGGGGGCCCTAATTGTTGGTGGAATTTGCTTGACTAAAGTCACCGCATCCGTGTTGTGTGAGACAAGAAAAGCGACTGTAGCAGAACGGTGCAAAGGGCGAGAATCGAGAGCCGATGGTCAAGGTAGTGATTTGGCAGCAGTGACCTCCAATTTGCCTTTCGGCGGAGAGAGCTTTGATGAGTGCCTGAGGCATTAAGGTAGATATCAGGTGTCAATAGCTCCCCTCCAGAGCTCCTCGCCATGCTCCACACTTGTCAGGACAATCCAGTACAGCATCATGAATCCAGATCAAGAAGCGAAATTTCCTCTGCATGAGGCAGCTAGAGAAGGCAAAAGTACTTCTGTTGCTTTCTGAGAATATTTAAGATCAGAAACTAACTTGCGACAGCTCCGACTGCCGAGTCGCTGTTGAACGTAAGTGCGCGGAAAGCTGCCCCGCCGCATATAGATCATCCGAAATGTCTATTACTCGGTCTCAACAGCGAAGCGACTATCTTTTTGCTCGTCCATACTGATCTGATCGCAGGCAAACCCGAAACTAGCTACGGTCAAAGATGAGGACGAGCGTCTTCCTATTCACTGGGCCGTTGCGTTCAATCACCTTGACATAGTAGAGCTCTTAGTAGCTCAGAAGAACTTCGATCCGGACGTGGAGGTCAGTTGAACTCTCCCATGTTACTTAATGGGCTGCTAATACTCTGCTAGGATGGATCAGGATGGACTCCGCTCATGATCGCAGCGAGCCTGAAGAATGCAGAAGGCGACCCCATCATCGACCTGCTACTACGGAAGGGCGCAGACGTCAGCGTCAAGAGCGTCTCCGGCCAGGTATGTTTGAATAACTGCAGAATCAGCTACTATTTGCTCATTCCGCACGCTCACTTCGAATAGAACGCCCTCCATTTCGCAACATCCAAAGGTAACCTCTCCACCGTGCGCACGCTATTAGCCAACAAATGCAGCGCCCGAGTCAAGGACAGAAGAGGGCAATTACCACTTCACCGCGCTGCAGCAATTGGATCCATCCCTATTATCAAACTTCTCTTGGAGGAAGGGAAGAGCCCGGTCAATGCTACCGATATCGATGGCTTAACGGCTCTGCATCATGCCATCTCCGAAGGTCATGGGGAGGCGGCGATCGCATTGCTCAAGGCTGGTGCGGAGGCCGACAAGAAGGATTCGGAAGGTCATCTGGCTATTGAGATGGCGCCTGATGCAAAAGTGGGTTGTCCGCGGTTTCAGGTGGCCGAAGTATAAACGAGCTGACTTTCGTTCTCTTTTAGGTTAAGAAATATATCTTGCAGACTGCTGAGAGAGAGGGTATTGAACTTTGATTTGAACGCGGGCAGAATATTTTACTGCAGAGCAATTACCGTGTAACATGTATCGGATACCCAGGGCCTCGTCCCTCATCTCCATGAATTAGAATGGGACTAATATAAAGCGAACCACTGATTTGAAATGTTGAATGTTCTATCAGAGGGTAGTCTGTACACATGAGATCTTCTAGATCTGAAGCAGGAAAATTTCCCAGGGGAATAAATATATACACAAGAAAGGAAGAAACGACAAAAGCATAGTCAATGGCTCTTCCAAAAAGAGACCAGTGGAGGGGAAAGCTTTATTTCATGGTGCTATCGACCAACTCCCGATATATCTTCTTGAGATCAGCGATATCAGCCTGAAGCTCTTCAACTTGCTCGCTTTTCTCGCCAAGCAGCTCCAGAGTTGTTTGGTAGCGCTGGTCCAAGTCTTCAAGGCTTGTCTCCAGTTCCTTCACGCGAGCGTCAGAGGCCTTCTTTTCCTCTGACTCTCGCATGAGGTCAACAACCTGCTTTCGAGCCTCGTCACGTTGCCTGGTGATCCGTGCAAGTTCGTCCTTGGCAGCGGCTCGTTCGCTCTCTAAGCGGCGAACTGTAGCGCTCATACGCTCAACCAGCTGAACAGATGGCCCCGCACCAACAGTCGACTCCGAGATGATGTCGTTGATACCTCGCGAATGATGACTAGGGGTAAATCCATAAGCAGACGGGGTAGCTGGTGTCGCGGAGCCGCTGAAGAAATCGTCCGGCTCGAAGGTGATGACGGGAGACTCCATGATCGGAGGGTTTGACAGACTTGTTGACATCGGTGGGGATAAGACGGGAACAGGAAGGGAATTCTGCCGCGGGGGAGTGCCCACGTCTGATGATGTCGTGAGGAGCGTTGAAGACCGGCGACTGGTGGGCCTGTAGTCCGACAGAGACGCCCCGGTTGTGTCAAGGTTGCTCGGTCTACGACTAAGAGCAACAGGCGACTGGGTACGCGGTTCCTGGAGTGAATTTTGAGTGGACAGTGCGTGTTCCCGCCACTTCATCCTCTCATCCTCAAGTTTCTGAGCCCATGTCGCATCGCACACCTTCTTCTGCTCAGCGACGTCTTTCTGTGCAGCAACCAAGTCGTCTTCTGCCTTTCTGAGCTTTTGGCCCAGCTTCTGGATTTCCTGCACCTGCCCTTCAAGTTTGCTCTCCAGATCCTGTTGGGCCTCCTTAGCATTTTCAAGCTCTTCCTCAAGCCTCTTCGCTTTGAGATTCTGTGTTGATGTTAGCCAGCAACTAAGATTGATTCACACGAACGAACGCCGTGCTTACCACTTCACGCATCTTCCGTCGCATTTCCCCTTCTCGCCTTGCGACATCGTCCCGTTCTTTTTCCACATTGGCTAGCCTTGATAGTAGCGAACCCTCGAGGGTCTGCCAATTCTCACTAGCGACTGCGTACTGCGTTTGCAATGTCTCGATCTGGCGTAAAAGTTTGGCCTGAGTTTCACCGATAGAACCGGACGAGGCTTCTTCTGCTTTAGAGCGAAGCGCCTCCATTTTGCTTTCCAGGACAGACTGCTCCCCCTTGAGCTCGGCCTCAAGTATCCTAGCCTTCTCCTTCTCTTGCTCTATGCCTTCTTTAAGATCTGCAACTTCCCTCCTCAGTTTTTCCTCATTAATCTCGCGCTCAATCTTCACACTGGAAAGTTCCTCTTCCAACTGAGCCGTCCGCTGCTTCTCCTTTTCCAAAGCATCTGATGTGGCTTTGGCCTCCGCTGCTTCGGCACGCGCAACCGCTCGGGCGAGTTGTGCCTTCATCTCTTGAACTGTCTGAGACAATGCGTTCCGCTCATTTGTGACGGCCTCGAGGTCCCGTGCGACCTTTGTCTGGGAGGATAGTGACTCGTTCGCCCGTTTCTCCGCAGCCTCAGCACGCTTTGCTCTAGCCTCAAAATTCGCCAGGTCCCGTTCGAGTTTCTCTGTTCTCTTCTTAGTCTCCATCTGTATCTTCGAATTATCTGCCAGCTGTTGTCGGAGCTTCTTGATAGCCGTCCGATGGTCCATCTCCGACTTGGAGAGCTTTTGCCCTTCCTCAAACAGTAGCGCAATCTTTTCGTCCTTCTCACGAAGCTGTTTTTCGACACTCCCAGGTTCAGCGTTTGCCGCAGCTTTCCTAGCAGACTCGGCTGCTTCTTTGGCCAGGTACTTTAGCTTGGATTGTAGCGCATCGATTCGTTCAATGTACAAGTGCAATTCTTCCTGCCGGCGGGTCTCCGCTGCCTTGTGCTCCGCCTGTAGCTGCGCAATGGCTGCGCTATTTGTATCCGGTGCAATGTCTTTCCCGACAGTTTTCAAGTCTTGCGATACTCGCGGGCTCTCAAATTCGCCGGTCTCATGTTGTTCCGCTGTGCCCAGCTCTTGCGAGGGTCGTTTTTCAGATCCTACGGACTCTTCAGTAGGTATAATCTCGTCAATATGCGATGCGGTGAGCTCCTTGGAATTTCGCGAAATAGCCCCAGAGTCGTGACTTGTCCTAGAGTCTGCCGGTAGTTCCAGTGAGCCTGCTTCTCGGACAAGTGGGCTATCCGGACGTTCTTCCGCGGTCCCTGTAGGCGATATAATACTTGATTCAATATCTAAACTCGACCGCGTGCCATTACTCGGTAAGGAACTGGCTGGCGAAGAGACCCTGCCAGGAGGTGACTGCGATACACCATTCCCGGCGGCATTTGATTTGGCCATGGCTCGAGCTAAGCGTTCCTGTAGACGATCATTTTTTCGCGCATTGGATGAGCTCCGCGAAACAGCTGGAAAGCAATTAGCCACGCGATCCTCGAGACTCCCGCAGGGACATTCAGAGACTCCATACTGCTTGTAGTCGGGTTGGGACTTGTCGCCTGTTGTCCTAAGCTCTCGTTCTGCTTTGACTTGACTGATGTGGACCTTGTCAACGATTTCTGTTCCTCCTCCTCAGCCAAGATCATATCCAATCTGGATTCCACGCCGGCGACTGCCTGCTGCAGAAACGAGCCGACTTTCCATTTCGATTTCGATCCTTGTGTATTCTGCGCCATGATGTCGTAGACAGCGAATCAGCTGAGGTTTTCCTTGACCAAGTCAGCTACTCGCTAGTAGCAAATCACCTAGCCGTTGTCATGGGAGGCAGCAGTTCCGGATGACGATGATGCGACCTGATGTTCCTTTGTCGTCACAAGTTCGATGAAACAGATGGATAAATCTAATTGTAAGAGATTAATGAGAGTCGAGAGCAAAGTTATGAACGAATGACAGCGAGATGAGAATGAAAGAAAGCTCAAGGCAGAAAAAGCTAATGCAAGAACGACTCAAAATGTCCACGTTAATCAGTACTTAAAGCGACTGCCTGCTTGCGTAGACCGAGAGCGGCCAGAGGAGCCAAAACGTGGACTGCCCGCCTCTTGGCATTATTACCTGATGGGATGGGGACTCCATCTATCTCGGACATCGTCATAACCTCACAGCTCACTTGTCATTGTATTTCCTCATCCCTTTTTTGAAAGTGAAGACGTCGGCGTGAGCTCCATCTAGAATTCCAGACGGATAGACAAGCACCATGTCGTCGACGTCTCTGGAGCCGCCGACTTATTTGAGCTCCTTGCAGAACAACATTCGAGCTCGCCCGATCCCGTGGGAGGGAGCTGTCCGGGCTGGCAACATCACCGACGACCATCTTAAGAAGATCAAGGCTGTGGACAAAGTCCGCAAAGAGCAACGCCGCCAAACCGTTGAAGGCGATCTTCAGGGTTATGTTGGACTGCTTGCTGGCAATGCCGATAGCAAGAGTGTCTTGGATTCGGCTTCCAAGAGGACGGATATTGTGCAGTACATTCTAGTGCTGGCGGCGGACTTGATTAACGGTAATGATATATTTGCGCTCTACATAGAATTATATGCGCTGACAGTTATTTCTACATCTTAGATGTCCCCTCGCTTTCCTCCGCATTGATCGCGCATCCTAGTCCCTACAAGCCCTTCCTCCCGCTCCTGCGTCATTCCACCAACGCGGAAGATCCAATTCCGCTGCTCACCTCCACATTTTTGACGAGTCTTGTCTCTCACAGCCTTGCTGCTTCAACCAAGGCAGCTGTCCGCGATGAAGAGGCGCTTCCTCAGTTATACACCTATCTTTCCACCCTGACTCAGAACCAAGACAGCGGGCTGCAGGATATCGGGGTTCAGGGGCTGTCGGCGTTGTTACGGAATTCGAGGTCACGGGAAATGTTCTGGAATCAGAGGAAGGAAACCATCGATCCCTTGATCGAGATCCTTCGTGCTGCTGCGGGAGTTAAAGACAGCAGTAGTTCGAGCACTCTAGCGGGCAGTTCGAGAGCCATTGAGCCCGGCCTCTCTGGTGGTGTCGGCCTACAGCTCTTGTACCGCGTTCTCTTAGTACTCTGGCAGCTGAGCTTTGAAGGAAGACTTGTTGGAGAAGGCCTACAGTCGTACGTTTCCCATTCTGATAAAGCGAAGCAGGGAAGCAGTCCGTGGCTAATAGTCAATTTTCAGGGACTATGAGTTTATCCAACTATATACCCAACTTCTGCGCCTATCCCCGAAAGAGAAGACGACTCGTCTGCTTCTCGCAACTTTGAACAACCTCCTTTCCAGCAATCGCACGACTTTACTTCCAGTTGCTGTGTTTGTCCGCCTTCCTGCTCTGCTATCCAACCTCTCTGGCCGCCATTTGACCGACCCAGACTTGCTGGAAGATTTGAACGCATTGTCTGAGATGCTAGTTGAATACACCAAGACACAAACGACATTTGATCAGTACGCCGCCGAGTTACAGTCGGGCCACCTTCGCTGGTCCCCGCCGCATCGCAACCCAACATTCTGGGCCGAAAATGCTCGTCGGATTCTGGATGAAGGGAACGGCGCGCTGCCCAAAAAGCTTGCCGAGATTCTGTCCAAGAGCTGGGATAATGACAAGCAGGTCCTTGCAATTGGATGCAACGATGTCGGTCAGCTGGTGAAAGAAATGCCGGAGAGACGCGGTCAGCTGGAGAAGCTGGGTCTTAAGACTCGAGTTATGGAGCTGATGGCTGACAAGGACGAGTCTGTGCGGTGGGAAAGCTTGCGAGCCGTTGGAGAATGGCTCCGGTACACCTTCGAGGGCTGATCGTGTATTGGATATGGTTTGATACTACAAAGGATTCCCGACGTTTGATGTTCGACTTCCTGGCGATGCAGTTACAGGACCGATGACATCTATCCTTCTTGTCTCTTCGTTTCTGAGATGAACATACTGTTTCCATTCTGGATGCTTCGCCAGCGCGCTTTTTTGTTTATTCTGTTCAGCTGTCTGTTCAACTGTTCAAACATCTTCATCTGTAGTCAATAGCGGTGCGGATTGGTATTTGATAGAGATATCCTGTTTGCTCGCATTCTGCGGGCTCCAATATTATACACAGGCTCCAAAGACCTACGCAGTCTTGAATCATCTTAAGTTTGAGGCGCCCGTTAGTATCAATTCTAGCCCAGGCAAAGTTTTGAGATGTTCCACTTTCATCGTATTTCGCACCCCACATTGATCAGAATAAGTTGTGCCCGGGCCACCATCACATCAGCAGGAAAGGAGGAAGTACAGATAGGAAAGGTGACGCCCAACAAGCTGTTCTGAAATCGCATAATACCAAAGATGCTCAAGTTTGTACCCATCAAGTCTTGCTCGATAATCTCCAAGTGGACCTTATGTGGATGATCGGCCGCTAAGGGATTCCAATAGAAACCGTACACTCTCAAAAGTCAGTGTCTTAGAGTTGAGACTATCTCACCGGGCCCGGCGTTTGCGTTATCTCTGGATAAGTCCCACAAGAGACCCTGACTCCTGACCATTGTTGATATCGTCGTCTTTGCTTTGAGTCTCCATCGGTGTGTTCTTTTATAACATCTGTTGAGCTTGATCCGATCACTCTCCGATACGAAGTATATCTCTATTTACCCATCCGCTCCACGCCGATTTACAGAGGAGAACCCCCACCGCAGATCATTCCGAGGCTACCCCGGGAAACGGAAGAAAAAGCAAATTTTGAGAACACAGTGAAAATTCAGCAGTCTCGCCCAATCCATGTCCAGGTCATTTAATGGGTGTAAACGGTGCAAAGCCAGACGACAGAAATGTGACGAACAGCGACCTGTCTGCGGTCGTTGTCAAGCGGCCGGGGTGCAGTGTCGATATGCGATGCAGCTACAGTGGGGAGGGCGGACTTTTTCGCGGTCGAGGTTAGGGGCCTGTATGAGCAATGGAGGGTTGCAGAAGCTGGGTATGTCTTCAATGGCTTTTGCTTTTGGCTTCTTTGGCTGATCATCTGTGGCCCTACAGAATACTCCCCCGGTGAATTTATCTACACTACCAAATCTCCTTCCGCTACGTCGAGTACAGCGCTCTCTCCACGTGTTGACCCTTTCGTCTCCCTGTCTCCCGATCAAAAGTCGTTGCTTCATCATTTCATCCAGGATGCGTCGCAAATTACGGCATGTCACTCCAGCATGCAAAAGGATATCTGCAAGATGCTTGTCCCAATGGCCCTCCAGACCCCGTCGTTATTATATGCCACAATGGCGCTGTCAGCAATCCACCTACAAGCACTAAACAATCAGTCGGAGAACGTCAAGTCCGCCCCGCATATTGCCCGGTTAATGGCGCTCAGCCTCGAGCACTTCCGGAAGGAACTGCAGAACCCAAGCAGCAAGGAGTCGGATGCGCTCCTCGCAACGGCACGCACACTCTGTTTAGCGGAAATTCACTCCGGGGCTATCCATCCGAACTCGTGGCGAGCCCATGTTGAGGGTGCAAAGGCTCTTATGCTTGCGACGAATCGTAAGGGAAGTGAATCACCGGGTTCATCGGAGGGTTTCCGTCGGTACTTGGACCGGTGGTACCAGTCGATTGTCTCCCTGACAGCACTGACGGGGAACGGGCCGCCCATCGAAGAGGCCATGGAACAGTCAGCCTCCGAGATCATCCGCAAACAAGACGCACCGGACTACCTCGACGACTACTGGGGCTTCACAGTAAATCTGTCAGCCATTTTCCGTGCAATAGGGGCGGCGGCCTGGCGGAGTCAGCACGACACACAAAGAACAGGGTTGATTTCAGACGGCGCCGATGCGGCCAGCGCACAGGAGGCGGCTGTCCTCGAGTCCTCTGTGCGGACGCTCATGGCTCGGGACGCAAGTTCGCAGCCTACATTCTACCCAGGCGTCGCGGAGGGCCTCTCGACCGAATGCATGCGGGAATTCATGCTCTGCAACGAAGCGTTCCAGCACAGTGCGCTCATTCAGATTCACCGGCGGCTCCGTAGACTACCTGCCTCCTCGCCAGTCGTACAGCACTCCGTCAAGCGGATTCTGGAGTGCACGGCGCAGATTGGGCCGTCTACGGGGCTGAGTCCGTGGACGATGCTCACGACCCCGTTGTTCATTGCGGGCTGCGAAGCGCAGGGTGAGGATCGCGAGAGAGTCCGGCAGTTGCTTTCATTGCTGCATGATACCATCCGCGTGCCGAACGTGCTTCAGTCATTGAATTTTCTGGATCAGTACTGGGCTAACCAGTTGAATGAGGATGAGGGCTGGAGTCAATATCTAGGTAACTTGCTCCTTTTTTGATATGTGAGTCGAGCTAACAAGGTCCAGATCGAATGAGATTCGATTTCATCCCGTACTGATGCCGAAGGGTCTGTCATTATATGCGTTTATGACTAGCGAGATGTGAGCGTTTTCAGTGTCTTTATTTTATTTTATTTTCTTTTCTTTTGCATTATGTACAGACCGTCTTAGGCGTCCTGGCCTCACGAAAGTCTTTTGAGAAGTTCAGATATCCCGGCGTTGGTGGATACTCCAGTTGTATCTTATGCAATGAATTGATATGTATTCTAGCGATATACCTTCACAAACCATCAAGGATTTTGACAACAATGTACCTCTGCAATCATCAACTGGACCCAACCTTTCGTATTTCTGTGCCCACGAGATGCCTGCGAGTCTAGGTTTGCATTCTTTGCCAACGGCGTCTCATCAACCCGGGTAGTAGCTGATTACCTTCAGGCCCTAAGAAATGTTACCCCCAACTGTTACAAGAAAGCGCCACGACACAGTCTGACAAAAAATTGCAGTGATCCATCTTGTCTCGGGCCAATGATCCACAGTCGGCGTGACAAGAGGCCTGAACCTGCTATTAATCATCACTATTCTGGCTTTGCGTCTCCGCGTTACGCCAGGACATACCACATCCTTCCCATTTCTGTCTGGGCTATGTCTCGCAGTATCATCATCCACACTGCCCCAACCCACAGAATGAGAGCAGGATATGGAAGAATCACTGCTCATACCGTATCAGGCTTGACGCTTGATGTGTGTCGGCCGCCATACTTGATGTTCTGGAGGCTGTGGCAGGGCTTGAGGCTCCCTGCAGGGGTTTGGCTCCTTCAAGGAGATGTACGGTTAGCGTGTTATATATGTCTCTGTTCTAAACAGTTCTTACCATGTAGTCTGATGGTTGGCATATAGTGCCTATGTGGGTGACGATTCCCAAGACGTAAAGGGTGCTTATCCGGGATTGGACTTAATTTTTCCAAGACAGCAGACATGCGTGACTGGGTACAAGTCCATTTCGCACCCTCGGCGCAGTAGCACTGTCTATGGAGATGATGCAGCCAAAAAGAGAGGAAGCTCAAGCTAGTAGCTATGTTTAGAAGCCTATATTGATACCCATTATTCACCAAGCTGATCAGACAGATTCAGATGGCTGCGTCTCAACAAGTGAATAGTGATTCTTGCTTATTCTATCCATTCGACCTGTAAGCTAGGATAAGCTTTAGTAGAATGTACTTAGGAACAGTTACAGGATATAGATAGTAGTAAAAGAATGTGATGTATCACAGTGTCACATTCTTTCTACAAGGAAGCCTAGATCATAATGCATAAAGTCCGCATTGGCCGCAGTTTAATTCGATGGCATTCATATTCTTCTTCGACTCACGAGGCCAATATTGATAGGAACCATTTCTTACATTTTGTTTGATGCTCTGTCATCAAATATGAGTACTGACTACCTACCGAAAACATCAGCAAGTGTTGTATTACAGAGCGCCTGTGTCTGACTGGAAAGTCCCTTGCAGATTGATTGTCTTCGGTTACTTTATTTAGGACAGTCAAGCATTGACTATCTGGTCAATAGCCGTACAATAAATCAAGCCACTGCTGAGCCAGTCCAGGATTGCTTGGATATATTTAGCGATGTATCATACCATCAGGCATCATATGAAGCATCAAAAACTTGGAAACATCTTTTAGTATGAGACAAAAAGGAGCCCGTAGACCTGACTCTTTGTGGCGCTTGGCAGCAATAGTTCGTAGTACCGCCGTCTACAGTTCTTCTGGCCGCTGTTTCATGTTAATTTGTTTTCTATGTGGAATCTATGCCCGAGGCAAGTTGCAGAATGTTTTCCATCGCCTAGACGGTCAAGGAGACGTCTGCTAGTGGCCATGCGTCGTTAAGGTTATGCACATAAGGATGACTGCCGAGTGGGCGCTTAATGCAGCTCTTGAATGGAGAGATTCTCCTGGACTTGAGATTGTCGAGGCGCCCATGCTTCAATCTGATTGATTCGCATGAGATCCCGTGCGTATGTTCATCACTAGGCACTGAAAGGCAATGAGTCTTTAGCTGATAGGGATGATTTTCCCGTTCCCAGGTTGGATTACCCCTGAAAGTGTTTGGGCTCCACAATGGCACTTGGCTTGGTCTGCCGATCGCCCAGTCTAGTCTACTAGTAGTTGGCCTTGCTGCCGTGCGAGGGGTGGTCTTGGAATGGGAGTTCGGGATGGTACACTCTGTACGGAGTACACTCGCTTGAGATTAGACAGTAGCACTGGTAGCAGATCAGAAGAGTTAGCCGGTAGTGCTGAAAATTCAGACATTAAAGACCAGTGGCGGAATTGCTGTGTCCAGTGTTCTAGACTCCTCAAAGACAGCGACCAGAGAGTAAGTCTTGTAAGCGAATGCAGACATCTCTCATCGATACAATGGGAGTATCATCATTCGCTGTGCAAGTATAGTCCGTAGCGTAGTAGTCTTCAAACAGCCGCGAATCGAGATGTTGATATCAAACCCTCCTT